TAAAAGAGAGAGATTAGTAAGAGCCTAAAAGTAGGCTACTGATGTTTTCATATGTTAAAATAGGTACTTTATAAAGAATTCAGTGATGGTGTAGTTGTACAAACAGTTTGTTCAAAGAACTTACAGTTAACACTCCAAACTAGATGTGCTCGTCATGTCACAGAGGTATTGCAGGGCCGTTTCCTCCCAGCACATGGCCAAACATGACCCATTGTAGGAGCAGTTTTCTCTTGCTCCCCCTGCACAGATGGATCTGTGTGGGAGATTCTGAGGTCCCGGGGCAGGATGGCAGCAGGCAGCAAGTCCAGAGCTGGCCATGTTGCCATGGAAGGCTCGGCTCAGCCTGTGGCCATAATTGGTCATGCTGGGTGTGCGCAGACAGTGAACTGCGAGTGCAGCTGAAGAGCTCTTGCAGGATCAGAAATAGATTGCACATTGGGAATGTCTTCGGGCACAGTCCCGCTGCTTTCCCACCCCAGGTTCCAGGCTGGCTTTGGAGCACCACAGCAGTCCTTCGTCCCAGATGTACCTCATTGCTGTTCAGGAATGGGCTTACGGATTGAAGCTCCAAATGTTGCCTTGCACATGAGAGCTCTTATGTGCTGAAGGAGGGGCATCAGAGCCTAATTGTAAAAGGAGGTGTCATTTTGTAAGGAGAGGGAATGGCTCTGTGGATCCTGTTAGATATCCATCCCATGCAGGGCTGACATTAGAAAGCAGCTAATACATGATAGCCACGATGAGATTTCTCAGATCTTCACACTCCTATACCAGCAACTTTTGCATTTCCTGCTCCCAAGAAAATAGATACTTTACAGAATTTCTTAATATCCATTTTGTCATTGTCCCTGTCAGAAAACTGACTAACAGTCAGCTGGGTGTTTGTTTTTCCTTCTAAGCTGGAGTGATAACTACTTGCTTGGTTTTGCTCACAGCAATCTAAATATAGCCTAGGGCACTTCTGAGGTATAGTTTGCATGGAGTCATGACTTTTTTTTTCATTTTTGAGCATGGTAGGCCTTCTCCATGTATGGGGTCATACTATCAGTGCTAAATTAGCCAGAAAGAACAAAGCCAGGTATGTTTACACCCCAGAATTGCTTTTCTTAGGCCAGGCAATTGATGAAAAAACCCACCATGATTTTTTCTGGCATAATTAACCATCTTCATTTAGTTACCGAGAAAAATACACAAGTCGGGTGCCACTTTAAGAGTTTTTGTTTGCCTGACCCCTGTTAGGTATATATCTACTTGTAAGAAAATAGTAATTCTCTGTACCTTGCTTTTTAGGACAATGTGAAGAGTGGTAAGTTACTCTTTGACAGTGTGTTTTCATACAAGCACCAATTGCCAACTTCTGTTGTCCCAGGAGATGCAAAGATGATGCCTTTGTGTCTACACATCAGCCAGTCCACTTTTGTCCTTTGTCCTTTCAGATTTATGGCTACCAACGACCTGATGATAGAACTGCAGAAAGATTCAATAAAACTAGATGAAGACAGCGAGAAAAAAGTTGTGAAAATGCTTTTGAAATTGCTGGAGGACAAAAATGGGGAAGTACAGAACCTTGCTGTCAAGTGGTAAGAGCCTGGGCAGTAACTGCCATGTTCCCTGGCACTAATAAAGCCATTACAGACTACAGAGTATGTGAGAGCAGAGCCTGGCCCGGGGCACTCCCTCAGACCTCCCTTGCAAGGGGCTTTGCCCTCTCACAGGGCACTGCACTTTCTGTCTTGATACTCACAAGGCGTGAACACAGATACCTTTGTAGCAGCAGGAGGTGATTTTGAAATTAGTTCAGTGTTTGTATTATGAACCTTACCATGAAAAGTGGCATCCCTAAGATTTTTCTTCCTCAGAGATAAGCTCAGTTTAAAATGTTGGTCATCAAGCTCCTGGTGTCTCTTGGGCTTTGAAATCCCGTTCTGAGTTTCCCCGTGGTTCTCTCTTTGATAGGGATGGTACTAAACCCTTATGGCATTTCAATTTCAGGTCTGAATCCTCCTCTTCAAGGGCATTTTTCATTACAGTTTATAATACAATTGGGTTTTTCCCTGCCTTGACTCCGAGTGCAGCCTGTGCTGTTGCTTTGCCCTGCTCTGTTTCAATATTTTTTTAATCCAAATGAACAAAAGTCCCTCTATTAGTGAATCCTCAGATGAAGGGATCCTGCTGCTGCCATTTTCTTTCCTGTCTCTTTCCCCAGCATGGCTGAGAGTGTTCAGTCTAAAAATGCCATGGAATGGCTCAGTTCACCCCAGGGCTCCAGAAAGGTGGGCCATTTAAAGACAAATTTAGGTTTCTCTGTTCTTCTTTTTGTGGATCCTATTTGTATTCCCTTCTTTTTAACCACATGCTGCCTCTATCTCTATCCTTTCTCTGTAACCCTTAGCCCTTTCTTTTTGATTCCCACGGTCCTGACATTTTCTGGCCCTGCTCCTGTCTCGGCCTGCTTTGGGCTGGCTTATTCTGATTTTCAAAGTGAAACAGTTGGGCACTGAGCAGAGAACCGACTTCTTAGCCTGTTTCTCTCTGATTGTATCAGCAGTAAGTCCATACTCACTGTGATCTCTCATCCATCCAGAATGTGATCATGAAGAGGCCTCAAAATGGAACCAGGAATATTTCCTTTCCATGCTTAAGGAGGTACTTACAGCAGTTAACGTCCAGTCAGTCATTCTCAGGCAGGTGGCCAGGATCTCTAAGAAGGAGAGATGTGATGGTTTGAAGGACACAGGCATTTGGATCAGGCCCTTCATCCTGACTGGCTTCTCCTCCCGCAGCCTGGGCCCGCTGGTTGGCAAAGTGAAGGAGTACCAGGTGGAGACCATCGTGGACACGCTGTGTACAAACATGCTGTCAGACAAGGAGCAGCTGCGGGACATCTCCAGCATTGGCCTCAAAACTGTCATCTCTGAGCTGCCACCAGCTTCCACAGGTACACTGCCTGTCCCTGCTGGAGGAACAGGGAATCCCAGCTTTTGGGAAACGGGAAAATGTGGAGTTCAGAGCATAAAAGTTACCAATTCCTTACTTACCTGCCAGAGGACAACTAGTGAAATACAGAGGAGAGACAGTAGAAGCTGAGGTACCAATGTGATGGAAGATGGGATAAAATGAAAACTTGAGCAGTGTTTGGAACTACTTATCCCAAAAACACAGCAGGGGATACCTGAGGTTCCTGGGGACAGGAGTTTCCTCTGCAGCCATCTCATGTATCTGTCCTGATAGGTCTCCTAGGGGGGGATTTCTTTTTTCAGTGTAGGAGGCATTGAATGGTTCCCAGCAGCAAAAAGTCTCCTTTTTAACTGATAGCAGCGTAAAATCTCTCTCTTGCAGGCTCCACCATGACAGCAAATGTGTGCAAAAAGATCACAGCCCAGCTGACAGGAGCCATTGGCAAGCAGGAGGATGTGTCTGTGCAGCTGGAAGCTCTTGACATCCTGTCAGATATGCTGAGCAGGTACCAGAGCATTTCCTTCTGGAGCTGTGCATAGCAGGGGGCTGCAGGGATGTGTCTGCTTTTGATTTCTTTATTTCCCTAATCCTACTACTGGGACTTAAAAACACAATATTTGGGTTGGCTGCCCCTGGGGAATATCTTAGCAGAGCAGGTCCCCAGTGGGGACAAGAGAGAACATGCTGAGCCTTTCTGTGCTTGGGAATGGCAGTGCCACTGGTGATGGATCCCACAGGGGCTCACCTCACACAAACACGGGAGGGCGAGGGCAAAGCAGGGAGGTTTATTTTAGCCCTGTGATCCGATCACACATGCATTTTTTTTCCTGGCTGCCTCTCTTTCTCTTGTTGCATAAGTCAGAGTGACAGTGTCATATGTCATCTGCATGCAGGAAATTATTGACAAACCTCCAGGTCATCCAGAAGGACACATCAAAAACCCCTCCGTCATGGAGACAAATAGCCTCTCCCTGTGCTTTACAGAACAAGTCAATGTTCGGACCAAAATGCAAAACCCAGCCTTCTCCCCCTCCCCACAATGAGCACGAAGTCTCCATAGCTGAAGGATTTTTACATTTTTTGCTGCCAAGAAGGCTTTTTCTCTGAGGCTTGGACTTTCAACTTCTCCTTTGTTCTGTTGATTGCAGACTGGGGGGAACACTCTACTCATTCCATTCCTCAATCCTGACCTGTCTCCTGCCCCAGCTGACGAGCCCCAGGTTGGCAGTACGTAAACGGGCCATCACTGCCTTGGGGCATCTAGTCTTGACCTGCAGTGGAAACATCTTCTCAGAGCTCACAGAGCATCTGCTGGCTGAGCTGAAGAGGAATGAGTCTACATCTACCACCAGGACATACATTCAGTGTGTGGCTGGCATCAGCAGGCAGGCTGGGCACCGCATAGGTATGATGAGCAGCTTGAAATGGCACTGGGAAATGTACGTGCATTTTAGAGCAGCTCCTCTTAGTGGTAAAAGAAGAGCGCTCACTGTTCCTAAAGTATTGGTGGCTTGTGCTTTGCAATTCCCTCCGTGATCCTGGCTTGGCTCTCTGATCTCCTCTTGGAAGGGAGGAGACACTAGAGTATCTCTCTGGCTGCCCTTCTGTAGCAACTTCACCTCAAGATCTTGCAGTGCTTCCTTGGTCTGAATTAAGACCTCTGTGAATTAGGTCAGTTGATTCACCCCATTTTAAATGAGAGGAGAAATGGAGGGCAGCATACTGTATTACTTGCCTAAAAGATCTGTCTAAAAGAGCTGAGATAGGTTCTAGAAGATCTCTAATCACAGCTCTTCCCATGACTGAAATGCCAACAAGGGGCTGCAGACAGGGAGCAGTGGTTAGCTTATGAAGATCAGCATGGCAGGTTTTGGTGGGCTGCTGGCTCCTTGCCCGTGAGGTCCAGGCCAGGAAGGAAGGAAGTGGCAGGTGGAGGAGCTGTCAGCTGCTTGGGTGAGTGAAGGCTGGAATGGTTTTTCACTGCTGCTTGCTTTGTCTTTCCCAGGAGAACACCTGGAGAGGATCGTCCCTCTGATCGTTCAGTACTGTGACGTGGACGATGACGAGCTGCGGGAGTACTGCTTCCAGGCCTTCGAGTCCTTCGTGCGGAGGTGTGTGCCCTCGGGGACACCTCTGCCCATCCAGTGCAGCCGTGTCCTCGCGGGGAAATACCGATCCTTTCAGCATCCGGGGAGGAGGGCCTTGCTGCATGTGTTCCTGTGGGAGTGACAGTTCATGTATGAAATCTCTTCTGCACAGGCAGGGTTGGGCTGGAGTTATGAGCTGCTTTACCTCAACATGTGAGGGTGTCCTTCTGTATTGGTTTTGCAGGAGTGGGAGTTTCCTTTGTCCTTGGAGGGTTCCTCAGCCAGAGGGAACTGCCTCACTCCTGGTCCGTGGAGGGAGCTGGAGGCAGGAAGGAGGCTCAGGCAGAAGAGCTGCTGAGCTGCAGCTCTCCAGCTGTTTGGTCAAACATTTACTGCTTGGAAAAGGAGCCCTGCAGAGCTGCTGAGGTGTTCTTCCAGGAAGGGAGGATTCAACCAGGGGGTGAAGGCAATTGATTTATTTTTCCTTAT